CTGTGTTTCTCCTTTCTCTCTGTGTTTCTCTCTGTTTCGCTCTCTCTGTGTTTCTCTCTCTCTCTGTGTGTGGATCTAGCTGAACTACTCCCAGCCCCTGGTAGCAGTGAAGTTCCTCAACATCTCTCTGAATACAGATGTGAATGTTGAGTGTAAAATCAACTCCAACACACTGAAGACTGGTGGAGAGAGAGACAAGTTTGCTGGACGCGTCTCTTTCAAACTCCGAATCACCTCACCTAAAAACTAGAGCACTAAGCACTAAACACTATACACACCACACACACACACACACACACACACACACACACACACACACACACACACACACACACACACACATATTACTGCCATATGAAGGACCATATCAGACCCCCTGGAAATGGAGAGACCTGGAGGAGAGGGAAGGATGAGAGGAGGAAAGGAGGTCCAATGTGTCTCCTTGTCGATTTCTTTTTTCGCTACATTCTTCATCTGTATCTCTCCCTCTCTCTGTCTGTATCTCTCCCTCTCCCTCTCTCTTTCTGTATCTCTCCCTTTCTCTTTCTGTATCTCTTCCTCTCTTTCTCTCTCTGTATCTCTCCCTCTCTCTCTCTGTATCTCTCCCTCTCTCTCTGTATCTCTCCCTCTCTCTCTCTGTATCTCTCCCTCTCTCTTTCTCTCTCCCTCTCTCTTTCTCTCTGGCTATCTCTCCCTCGCTTGCCTCTATCTGTATCTCTCCCTCTCTCTCTCTGTATCTCTCCCTCTCTCTCTGTATCTCTCCCTCTCTCTCTCTGTATCTCTCCCTCTCTCTTTCTCTCTCTGTATCTCTCCCTCTCTCTCTCTGTATCTCTCCCTCTCGCTTTCTCTCTCTGTATCTCTCCCTCTCTCTCTCTGTATCTCTCCCTCTCTCTCTGTATCTCTCCCTCTCTCTTTCTCTCTCTGTATCTCTCCCTTTCTCTGTCTGTATCTCTCCCTCTCTCCTTCTCTGTCTGTATCTCTCCCTCTCTCTTTCTGTATCTCTCCCTCTCTCTGTCTGTATCTCTCCCTTTCTCTCTCTGTATCTCTCTCTCTCTCTCTCTCTTTCTGTATCTCTCCCTTTCTCTGTCTGTATCTCTCCCTCTCTCTCTTTCGCTCTCTCTGTATCTCTCCCTCGCTCTAATCT